CTCCCCAAACCGGCCCTCGGGGGTAGACCCGGGGTTCTTGTTCTTTGTAGCCCGCCTCGGGCTTCTTAAAACCCCAAACACCCTGGAGGACCCAGGAGCCCGGGTGTCCTCCCGCTCTGGGGCCCGGGGATGCTTAGGAAGGCGTGCGGAGTGGGAGAGACACGGAGCTTCTGAAACTAGTTTGTTCTTGGACTTGTCGGTCTGTCTGTCTGTGGCTGGCCTACACGCCCACGCCCGGCTCGCAGGCCTCCTCCCTTCACCCCGGCCTGGTCGGACCCTGTTGGAGAAAGCCTACGCGTGCTTTTAAGCTCCAGTCCGACTTGCTTTCTGCATCTGAGCCACACAGATTGCTAAGCGCAGGATCCGTACCCCAGTGAGCCCCAGCCCGCACCCGAGAAGGTTTTTACTTAAATATTTAATCTTCCCATCTTTCGTTGTATGGGTTTCCTTCCTCTCCCCTCTCTAAAACAAAAACAAAACAAAACAAAAGGTGTGTGTGGGGGGGGGGGTGTAGAAGGGAGGACGGGGAGAGGAAGGGAAGGCGGCTAGCAGAGGCCTCCTGCCCATCGTTTTAATTATATAGCCAGTTCCCTTGCTCTGGCCCATAATGTATATTTTAGGCGAGCCCGGTGTCTTTCAGGAACATTCTGGTAATGTCGGAGGCCTGGGTGTGTTGCCTGCTCGTCCCCCCGTGCAGCAAGCGGCCTGTTTTCCTCCCCCTGTTGTGTGTTTTTATTATTTTCCCTCTGGCTTAGATGTGTCAATCATTCTCTCCCTGCCATTGGTTGGAGAGTTTGCGTCAAAAAAGTTGCCAGAGAGGCGCTTTCTCAGCAAATCTCCTTGAGAGCAGAGCCGACCTCAGCTCCAACTCGGCCTCCACTGTTATTAAAAATAAAAAATCGCCCGGGCGGCCCTCACCGCGGCCACTTTTTTTGTATGTATCGCGGAGGGGGCCACGCGCGTTTTTTTCAGCTCCAGCTCCTTTCTGCGTTTTCCGTTGTTAAAATTTTATTTTTCGTTGTGCTTGACTTTTTTTTTTTTTACTTTTATTTTTTATGGAAAGGTGAAGACCGCGAGGTGTATAACTCAATACTCTTGATTTCTTGTAGGCTGGCTGGCTACTTGGGATTTTGAAGGATAACTTGATTTTTTTTTCCCCTCTAACCTCCCATGCGGCGGTAAGGTAAGCGTCCATCTGTGTAGTCTGTCTGTCTCTAGAAGTCCCTCTGTCCACCATCACCCCGAGGCCTCCCACAGGCCGACCGATGCGTCTCCGCGAACGTGGCTTTCTGCTAAAGGCGGATGCAGTTTGTCCCTTGTCCGTGTTGAGGTGTAACAAGGACCATTGAGAAAAAACGCAGGAGCTGGCGGCGGGGGCAGCGGCCGGAGGCAGGGAGGGAGCGCGCTCCCGGGTTCTCCGCTTCCGCAAAACGGCGTGCAAACTCACAGGGTTTGGTGTGTTTTTTTTGGTGTGGTTTGGTGTGTTTTTTTCGGGGGGGGGGCGATTGTTTGTGGTTCTGTTTTATGTCTACGCCCATTCTGGGCTTCTTCCTGCGAGCTGTACGTTTTGGCCCTGGGCTGTGGTTTGGGCCGTTCGGATGGATCAGAACGAAGGGCGTTTTCAGAGCCTGAGACAAAAAGATGCATCTGGAGCTAGAGGGACGGATAGTAACAACACCGGCACCTCCCGGGCCGGCGCCCCCAAAGCCCGCTGGCTCGCGGGTCTCCGGGCGCGGACAGCCTCCGGCCCAGCCCTAACGCAGGAGAACCCAGAGGGTAACCGAGGAGTCCGGAGCGCCGGCAGCTCCGGTCGGTCCCCTCTTCCCAGGCCTAAAGCAGCCAGCAGCTCACCGAGCTTCACTCCCTGTGTCCAGCCTCTTCCAAAGCTTCCAGGTCTCTCTCTCTCTCTGTCTCTGTCTCTCTCAACACCTCCCCTCCCCCGATCAACCTCTCCCCCACCCCCCCCCACTCTTGGGACGGCAATATCCCCTCCCCCCGTGGTGGTTGTGGTCCCGATCCAGTCCCTAGGCCGGGCTAGCCTCTGAGAGTCGTTTCCCTGCCGGATTTTGCTGGCCGCGGTCCCGGGGCCCCGCGCCGCCCTCCGCGCGCCCCTGGGGGGCAACGCGGCGCCGAGGGCCCTGCTCCGCCCCGGCCGCGGCGGGCCCGGGACGGGAACCTTCCGTGGGGAGGCGGCCCCTCGGCGGCTCGCGGGCCCGGGCAGCGGGGGGCGGGCTGGCGCGCCGGCTCGCACCCTCCCACCACCCCCTCCCCGGGCTGGGAGGCCAGGGGCTGGCGCGGCCCGGGCTGGGGCGGAGGGGAGCGCTGCGGCCCGGCCTCCGCTCGGGGTCTGCCTGGGGAGAACCTTCAAAACATCTCAACCGGCACTCGGCCTGGGCAACGTCTTCGGTGCAGATGCGTTCAAGTGACTCTTGAAAGCACGGTCCGATTTCAGGCCAGATTTTTGGAAAGCCAAGTTCCCCATCAGACTTCCGAGTTGGCTTTTCCCCTTCCTTTTACCGTGGGGCGAGGGAAGCAGGGCCTGGAGCGGCGGATGACTTGGGGAGGGCACGGCAGTCGCCCTGGGACATTCTGCCTCCCTCCCTGCGGCTGCCTGGCCGCTGAGGCTTTCTCCGCGCCTCGGGACGCGGTCCCGGCTCCCAAGTCTCCGCGCCCGAGCGGAGTGGGCGCGGAGACCCCTCCCCCGAGGAGGGAGACACCCGGCCTTCTCCTCGCCTTCATGCATGGCCGAGGCCCACCCTTCTGGCACGTTCCTGCCTCTTCCCTCGCGGGTGGCCGCATGGTTTGGCTCCCGGGGGCCAGAAACTTTGGAGTTCGCCGCAGAGAGGCCGCCGCGCCGGCTGCGTCCGCGGTGCGCCCCGTCCCCGCGCTCCTCGCCGCCCCGCCGCAGGCCCGCCGCCAGCCCGCCGAGTTTTGTTTCCTCTCCATCAGGCAGAAAATTAACCAGCCCGGGCGCCGGGCAGAGCGGAGCACGGCGGCCTGTAATTAAGGGGACGTGTGCCCCTCGGATTATCTCGTTAGTTTATCAAGAAAACATTTATTATAATTAATTCTCGTACGGGGTAATTATGATTGAGCGAGGACACAGCAACTGGTAGATAGGCTCCTTGGAAGAAAACACACACACACACACACACACACACACACACACACACACACACACTCACACTCACACATACTCACGAGGCGGTGAGGGGGAGAGGGAGGGAGGGGGGAGCGACAGATTGCACGAATTGACCGTTAGATATAAGGCGGAGCGGGCCGAGGCGGCCAGTGGAGCCGGACCCGGGGCTGCGAGGCTGCCGGGCTGCGGGGCTGGCAGCGGCGGGGACGCCCGAGTCACTGGCCGCCCGCGCGTCCACCGCCTGCTTCTTCTAGGGTAAGATTCTCCAGTGGCCACTTCCGGAGCGGTGCTTTTGCGGTTTATATTCTTGGGAGGAAAAAAAAGGGTAATTCTGTTTTCTTTCTAGGCTCTGCTGAGAGAGGAAGGGAGGAAGGCGTGCGGGCAGGGCTTTGAAAGTTAGGTGGAAGGGCCTGCGGGCTCTCTCCTTTGGGAGCGGATAGGATACCAAGGCTGGATGGTGAGAGTTCCCCCCATAGTTTCGTTCTTGGAGCACTTTCTTCTAAAGATGAACCCGGTAGTGATGAGGGGAGACGGTCCGCCCCGGGGGTTTTAGCCACGTTGCGGTGGTGAGGGCAAAGGAGCCCCAACAGGATCGCTGTCCCGCGGCTTTCGGTCTGTTACCACTTTTAATATTGAAATATGCTGCTTGAAGGTAGGATGTGTCAGGCGTTTCTAATTGGGTGAGAGCGCTGCATGTAAGAACGGACACTTCCATGTTTATCCTGTGCACCGGATAGGATTTTGTCTTTTTCTGTGGTAGTTCAGAACTTGCCAATATGAGGTGAGGTTGTATTAAACAAGGAAGAACTTCAGTTTACAGGCGATTTAAACAAACAAAAGACTGCATTTTAAAGCAATATTATTTCCATGGCTTCCAAATAAGTGTCTTGAAAAGAGACTAAAAAACATCATGTCTTTGTTGTACGACCAACTAAATTAGTATTCCTATGAGATCATACAAACGCCCCCAAGAAGGACATTTATAAAAATTATATTAAATTAGGTCCGAGGGTGGAAAGAATAACTTGTGCTATGAATTTAAGTCGGGAAGAAGTGAAAATTAAAAAGGAAACAAAAAAGAGAAATTGGGATGAACTTGCAGTAACCTCGTGCCATTTGTGAAACTTTGTGTCTCTACCTTTTAAGCCATCTAACGATGAAAGCCCATCATCATTAAAATTCAGTAAGACCTCTGTAAAAGTAAGAAGGAACTTCGCCTAACCTCGAATCCGCCATTTTGGAGCAAACTCTCAGAGTGTCAAAGTTGCAAAGCAGAGATCCTTGCAGGAGAGGTGCCATCTCTTAGGAAAATAAAAGCCAGATTTGCCAGCAGCCGGCCTATATTCATGTCCATTTGGGACCCCTTGGCTCGGGGGAGTGAGAGACAGCCAGCTGAAGAAAGTAAATAACTTCCTTTGCTTCCTTTCTTTTCTCTCTCCCCGAGCTCTTTTTCTTGTAGGATTGTAGGAAATTTGAAAGGTAGGGAGAAATGACACTGGTTTCACAACTTTGGGTGTTTGTGTATCTACTTTCTTCAAAACCTAAAATGTTCAAAAGGCGGCTAGGGTTAACAGGAAACTGCTGGAGCAGTGAAGACCCAAATGTCCGAAAATTTGCCTCCCGCAGGACCTGCAGCCTCCACACATCAAAATCAACATGGAAGCAGCTCGAGCTGCAAACGTGCATGCACCCTTTCTCCCTGCAGATGTGGGGCCTCTCATTTTCTGATTGGTGGGATTCTAACTTGACTTCAGAATTGCGAGCAAACCCTGTGCCAGTCTTGAAGAATTCTCTCTCTCTCTCTCTCTCTCTCTCTCTCTCTCTCTCTCTCTCTCTCTCTCTCTCTCTGATTACGTATTTGATGGGTATCTATTAAAAGTTCGATTTTTGTTTATTTAGCTTTGGCTCTATACACATTATAATCAGGGTTCTCCAGAACCCTAATAAATCTGTTACTTGCCTCAAAATCTAATTACCCAGGCTACTAATTAGGTGAAAATGATGACTGGAAATGACTTTAAGTGTGGAATAATAGTGGTTAGGCAGTTTTCTCAAGTTTGTCGATTAGCAAGTTGACATTTTAGATGTTAAATGCACTGATATTTTAGGTTACAAGCTGTCGCAAGTGGTGAAAAAGCTAAGATAATTAAAATCAGCCTCGGAAAGGCAACAGTCTGGGGAGGTAGATTTCTTGAATTGTTTTTTTGTTTCTCACCCATGGGCTTTGTTATCAGCATTATTTATTTAGCCGAAGAGTTCTTTGTCTCTGCAAATGGCCCCAATCAAGTTTTGTTTGAGACAATTAGCTAGTGCCAGCCAATGAGTCCTATGCAAATGCAGGGATAGGAATGCGGTGTGTGCATTTGAAGGCGTGGGGTTTTGTTCTTCGGGGCCGGCTGATGGTAATTGCTTTCTTCGGGTACTTTTTTTTTTAAGTTTAGGGTGGGGGTGGGGAAGACAGGTTTATCAGGTCTCCATCCCTTCCAGTTTCACAGTAGCTGGGGGGTTGGGTAAGTGGGGAGCAGGTCTGCAAACTCTTTAAAAGCCTCTGCCCTGAGTAGCCCGGGCTGTTTTTTTTTTAAGTTAGTGGCGAAACGTGGAAGGGCTGCTGCCTGCGAAGCAGTAAACCAGCACCTCTTGTTTGTTTGTTTGCTTTGCCCTTAGTTCCACCACGCCAGACCCGCCCACCAAGGACCCTGAATCTGTCCGGCCCCGGCGACGCAGGACCTTCTGGCTGGGTCCCCCCGCTTTGGGCTGACTTTGCGCCTCCTAACAACCTTAGCATGATGTCTTATCTTAAGCAACCGCCTTACCCAGTCAATGGACTGAGCCTGACCACGTCGGGCATGGACTTGCTGCACCCCTCGGTGGGCTACCCGGGTAAGTGAGCCCCGCGATACGCCCGCCCCGCCCCGCAGGGACGTGACACCCCTAACCCCCGGGAGCGCCGGGCGGGCTGGAGGTGATGCTGCCCTGGCTCCGGGCGAAATCCCCACTGGGTTTGCCTCCGGGAAGCAGCTCGGAGCGCCTGGACGGAGGAGCGGGGCTGGCGGGGAGCGAGCACACAACATCACGTCGCTGGTTCTGTGGGCGGACAGGGGACGCAGAATGGAGTGGAGCGAGGGAGGTTTCTGCCCTGGTCATTTGGGGGCGACAGGCCCTTGCCCGTAGGTCGAAGCGCAGTTCCTCGGAGGTACCTACCCTCTGCCTCTCCCTCGGGCTGGGCTTCCGCTCCGCCCTCCAGCTCCGCGCTAACCCCAAAAGGTGTGACGGAGCGCGGGTGCGGCTGCCTTCCGAACCTGGCGGACTTTTTATATATTTTTTTTTAAGTCCTCACCGAAGGAGGAGGAGGAAATGTGCCCCCATTTTAAAGACGGAGGAACAAAGGCCCTTGGATCTCCAGTAGGATCGAGATCCGCCCCACCAATCCGAGCTGGGGGCCCTCGGGGATCTCTGACTCCCCGGAATGGGTTTTTCTTTTTGTTTGTAGTGTTTTCGGGGTTTGTTATGGAGGCTTTTTGTGTTTTCTTTTCTTTTTTTTTCCTTTTTTGTCTTCCTTGATTTCATTCGTTTTGGCAGCTTTCGAAGGGACGCTCTGGCTGGAGAGATCGCCGAAATCAGGCGGCACGGGGCTCCCCTGATAGGGGCGCTGTGCGCCCCGAGACCTCCAGTGCGCGCTGGAGGGGCCCGGCCGCCGGGCGGGGTGGGGCGAACGCTGTGGGCTCCGCTTGGAAGGCGGGGAGGACCGGGGGAGGGAGGGCTGTGGAGTCCGGGTTGGGGCCGGAGCGGGGGTGGGGGGAGCTGGAGCACCCGCAGAGACCCCTGTGACTGAGAAACTGCTCCCCCACCCTAAAGGGCCCTGGGCTTCTTGTCCCGCAGCCACCCCCCGGAAACAGCGCCGGGAGAGGACGACGTTCACCCGGGCGCAGCTAGACGTGCTGGAAGCGCTGTTTGCTAAGACCCGGTATCCAGACATCTTCATGCGGGAGGAGGTGGCACTGAAAATCAACTTGCCTGAGTCCAGGGTTCAGGTAGGGCCGCTGTAGACAGCCCTACCCCTCCGAACCGCGCCACCCTTCCCCCAGCACGGTGTGCGCAGAGGGCTCAGGGGAGTCCCAGGTGTTTGAGATGACCCAGGGAGGGCTTGAAACTAAACCTTCCTCAGGAGGCCAGCACACTTGCCTGAGGCTCCTTGAGTGCCTGATTTCTTCTCCTAGAGCTTTTTTATCCCTCCACCCCCAATCCGTGCTGCCAGCCAAGGGTCTTCCTCAGGTGCAAAGGAAGACGAGGGATTGAGCCTCAGTGAGGAAGCACAGCCCTGGAAGTCTTGGGTACCTGGCCCGCAGAGGCCCAGCCTTGGCGGGCGGCAGAAGGCAAATACTGCCACACAATATGTTAGTACTTCCCTTCCCCTGTGTACAAAGCCGCCCCCCGTTCTCTCATTCACTTTTAAGGGTGGAAGAAGCTTAGCTCCCAGGTGGTCCCAATATTCTTACAGATGAAGAAACCGTAGGTGATTTGCTCAAGGTCACACGTCGGTTGGTGGTAGAGGTAGGCTGTGGGATCAGCTGGTGCTCTGAAATGATGCAAGAGTGTTTTCTTTGACATTTCAGGGATTGAACAGAATTTGCTAGCTCGGAGCCATGTAGCAGATACAATATCTGCATAACATCCCTGGTGACCCCTCTCCCCTTCCCTGAGGCCCCCTTAACCTGACCTTAAGCTGGAGAGGGAAAGTAAAGTTTAACTTTCCTGGAACTCGTATCCCATGCAGAGTTCTGCAAGAATGATTAGCACCTAAACTTACCTGTACACCTGAGACCTCCCTTCAGCTGGGACACATCAGAGGGAACTGCAAGCCAGGAAAGAGGCTTTTTCAAAATGAGATGGAAGAACTTCTTTGGTTTAAATAAGTCTTCACTGAAAGAAAATAAATGACCAGAATGGTTGGTGATGCTTCACTCAGCTTTGGTAGCATCGTTCTTACCACAGAACACTCACATGGGGAGTTGATCAAAGAGGGCGGCTAAGGACGTGTTGCCCAGAAAATGCTAGCAGTTTCTCTGATAATCCCCCTCCCACCCTGAACACAGCTCCTTCATTATAGAGCTGGGACAGCGCTGGTAAAAAGAATTGCCTGATTGCAGGCAGAGGCTGAAGTTGACAAACATATGAGCAGAATACAGGAAACTGAATCTAGGTGCTGATGGCACTACCCTGAAGGCACAGATTCTAATCTCACACTTGAGCCTAGTAGGGAAGTCCTTGAGCTCAAAGCCGAGCACCTAGGAGACACTCCACTTAACATAAAGTTTTGCCCCAGATATGTACACTGGTAATAATTTAATAAAAAGATAAATTATAAAATAATAAAAGAAAGTTTTGCTCCACAGTGGCTTTCAGACCTCCTTCCTCACTTCCCCTTGGAGCTTTCTTTTGTGAGTCTTTCTAGGAGAGACAAGAAGCAGAGTGATGAAACCAACCTCCATACTAGCAATGGCTCCCTAGTAGATGGACTGTAGACTGTTTGAATGTACACTGATCTTGTTGGCATAGAACAACAGAATTGCTTTCACTCCCTTGTGTTTTTCTCCAAAAGACATAAATACATTCTATCCCATTGTGAGAGAGTCCCAAAACACAGCTGGGCCTGTGCGTATGTGTGTATTCGAGGTGAAGCAACATAGAGAAGTGAGATGGAGAATGGTTAGCCACATGATTGGTCTTAAATTTTATTCTAGGTTGGGGGTAAAGCAGAGTCAAATGCTTTTAAACAGAGACTCCCCAACATTTTTTCACAATTGCAGGAGCATATATGTGAGAGTACTATACACTAGGTTTTCAGTGGCAGGAGAGTTTATCAGCTCCTCTGTCCATGCAGGAGAGATTATATAACCTGGGAGCCACCCTGGTTCTTAAGGAGTTGTGTGAAACCACATTAAAGAAGTTTCTTTCCCTTTCAAGGTATGGTTCAAGAACCGAAGAGCTAAGTGCCGCCAGCAGCAGCAGCAGCAACAGAACGGAGGTCAGAACAAAGTGAGGCCTGCCAAAAAGAAGACATCTCCGGCTCGGGAAGTGAGTTCAGAGAGTGGAACGAGTGGCCAGTTCACTCCCCCCTCTAGCACCTCAGTCCCAGCCATTTCCAGCAGCAGTGCTCCTGTGTCTATCTGGAGCCCAGCCTCCATCTCCCCACTCTCAGATCCCTTGTCCACCTCCTCCTCCTGCATGCAGAGGTCCTATCCCATGACCTATACTCAGGCTTCAGGTTATAGTCAAGGATATGCTGGCTCAACTTCCTACTTCGGGGGCATGGACTGTGGATCTTACTTGAGCCCTATGCATCACCAGCTTCCTGGACCAGGGGCCACCCTCAGCCCTATGGGTACCAATGCAGTTACCAGCCATCTCAATCAGTCCCCAGCTTCCCTCTCCACCCAGGGATATGGAGCTTCAAGCTTGGGTTTTAACTCCACCACTGATTGCTTGGATTATAAGGACCAAACTGCCTCCTGGAAGCTTAACTTCAATGCTGACTGCTTGGATTATAAAGATCAGACATCCTCGTGGAAATTCCAGGTTTTGTGAAGACCTGTAGAACCTCTTTTTGTGGGTGATTTTTAACTATACCAGGCTGGACATTCCAGTTTTAGCCAGGCATTGGTTAAAAGAGTTAGATGGAATGATACTCAGACTCATCTTCTGATCAATGTTTCAGGAGGCATAGAAGGAAATATGAAGGTCCTTAGAGGGACCCACCAACCAGCAACCTGAAATGGACAAACCAATTTACTTAAGATCCTGTCATAGTTTTTAGATCATTGGTTTTCCGGATTCTCAAAGTGATCAAAAGCATCCTAGCCATGTACAACCAAACACCACCAAAAATAAAAGCAAAACGAAATTGTGAGGTGAAGGAGGGGAGGACATAGCCTTCTTAAGCAGAGGTGTTCCAATGTTTTAGCCAATCCTTGGTTGAATCTTAGGAATGGACAGTGTCTCAAGCTCTCTCACGTTTCATGACCAACTGTTAGTTGGCACTGAAAACCTTTTCAGGGCTGTGTGAATTGTGCGACTGATTGTCCTAGATGCACTACTTTATTTAAAAAATAATGTTCATAAGGAGTCAATATGTAGTTTTAAGAGACAATCAGTGTGTGTCTTATATAAATGGTACATCTGTGGTTTTTAATCTGTGCTAGACTTCAAAACTGTGATCTCCTGTTATTGTATGCAACCTTGAACTCCACCTCTGCAGGGGTTCTTCTGTGATTAAATAGGTTATAATTATAAGCAAAATTCAGAGCAACTGAGTCCTTACCTAAAAAGATTACCTTTGGCTGAATGGGAGCTGTACTGAAACTTGACAACAAAATGTCTCTGGACAAGGAGAGTGAGAGAAGAGAAACGAAAGGACACCGATTCATCTGTGATTTACTGTTGGTAAACCTGGCAGTAAAGAGACATTGGTCAATCGCTCTGACCCTGATGAATTTATGAACTGAGATCATTGTTGTTTATGCTTGCAGATGTTAACTGGAAAAAATGATATATGCATAAACTTTTCTTCCCGGATTTGGCAGATATGTATAATTATATTAAAATGGTTCTAGCACAACATTGGGTCCAGTTTAATTGTATACCATTATTTATAAGGGAGAAGTCTTTTTCTTCCTAAAACATGTTTTTCTTGGGTTAGGGAGCAGACTTTATTTTTAAATTTTGGAGGATCTAATCTAAGGATGGAGTAGAAATGAATGACTGTGGTACGTAAAGTGTTTGTGACTTTCATCAGGGTTGCTCTGAAACTGAATCAAGAGACCAACAGTCATTAGGATCTTGTCTCCTTGCTTCCCCCTTCCACTACCCCCCTCTGCATACCCTACTATTTCTTAGGCATTTTATTACTATGTTTTAATATAAATCAACTTTTTAAGCAAGAAGGGTAAAACTGTAGAACCTCAGAGAAAATGAGAATGAAAAGAATTCTGTGTTTTTATTCTCTTATTTGATTAAGGGGACTTTTTTTTTTAGCTTCAAAAACAATTGAGGTAAACATGAGTGAATGTAATCAGAATCTGAAAGCAATCCAGGCAGAAATGATTTCTGAACAAAGGAGTTTCAGAAAAGTTTTAAAACCTATAATTTGAGTAGCTGAACATAAGGCACTCTGGTCATTTTTTTTTTTTTTTTAAAGCAAGTGTTGAGGGAGGAAAAATAGGTCCCTTCTCAGTTGTATCTGCGTTTTGTAGGGCAATCACTAGAGTCAAATGGGCCAATGATCCTGGTTTAAGCTCATTGGAAACTTCTGATGCTCTCTAAGTTTGACCAAAATTAAGTGACTCTTGATTGTAACTATTCAAATGAAGGTTAGCAGTTGCAACCATTTTGTTTTCTGGCTATTGTTTATTTTTCCTGTCCCTGGGTGCGCTTGTTCTCTTAAACCCTACATCATCTTGCCTGATGGTTTTTTTCTGCTTAAAAAAAAAAATGCAATCATTCACACTTAATACTAGAGGCAAAACTTGGTGGCAAGAATTCCCTGTACCTACTGATAACATCCACCCTACTATAGATTACGTCAAAGTGAAATCAGGGCGGAGAGAGACTTTATACTTTTGTGGGTCTGGGGTCGTTTGCTCCCAGCTTTTCTCACGCAGTTAAGTAGGCAGATCCAGAATAACTTCTCACACAGTCTGTCAGCTTTGAAGATGCCCTACAAAGCGTCAGAAAAGTCATTCTTTAAAAACAAGAAAGGCTGCTCTGCAAATAATGCAGTTAAGTTAGCAGCTTCTCTCCAGATACGTTTTCTTTTTTGAAAGGATGAGGTCAGAAAACGGCGCTATCTGCCCCTCAGAAACAAATTTTGTCGTCACTTTTGCAATACTTTGTTTTAACAGGCCACGCAGTTAAGCCCCTAAGTAGAGATGAATTTCTCCCCCCCCACCCCCAACACCCACCCACAGGCACCGGAGCGGGGGACAGGCCGGAAGGGGCAGCGTTTTCTGAGACCAAGAGCTCTGACCTTCCCAGTCAAGGCCGGGCTTCATCACCACGTTGAGCCCCAAGGTGATGGTAATGATGGTTGGTGTGGAAAGGACGACCCCTCCTTCTTCCGCGCATTGGCGATCTACGTAGACGGGAAATGGCGAGATAATGGCCGTGTTTGGGGGGATGGGGGGGATGTGAGTCCTACTGAGGTCTGCTGCCCCCTACCTTTATCTTTCCCAGAAAGACTTCTCTTTGTGTTTCACCTTGGGAGTGCCTCTTCGCCGATAAGGAACATTCTATCAGGCCGGCAAGTTCCGGCTTTCTAACCTCTGAGATTTAGATAATGGTCAGTCTCCTCAACTCCTCCGGCCCTTGCTTCCTTCTAATCTCGCCTGCCCCCGAGCGACCCACCCGGGCCGCTCCGCCCGGAAGGCTGCGGGTTGGGTGCGCAGCGGCGGGCGCGGGCGAGGGCCAGGGCCCTCTGCTGCAGTGCTTCCTGAGCCCGGGCCGCCCCATCGGGGCCTCCGGGGAAAGCTGGTCCCTGCCCCGGGCCTGCCGGCCGCAGGCCCTCCCCGCTCCCCTCCCTCCGATCGGAGCGGGCCCTCTGCGGCGCCCAGCCGGACCCTGGCCTGGGCCCGACGCCCCGCGCCCCGGCCGCCCGTGCGGGCGCCCCGACCCTGAAGTCAGACCCGGACTCGGGCGCGGCCTCGGCGCCGGCGCCGGGGACTTCGTGGCCTGGCTCCGGGGCGCGTGGGAACGTCCGGCCGGAGGCCAGAGGGAGAGGACGGCGAGCCGGGCCCCGCGGGCCGCGGAGGGGACTGGGAAGCCCGTGGCCTCTCCCTCGGCTCCCGGGGGTTTGGGGGTGATGGGGGCGGGGGGCAGGGGAGAGGCACCGCAGACGCTGGGTCTCCCACCCGCGAAGAAGGGCGAGAAGGCCGCCCCAGCCGCAGCAGCGACCCCAGGCCACGTTTACGCCCCCATCTCCAGGGCGGATTTGGCGCCCAGAAGGGGTCCAGCTGGGCCTGCCTCCTCCCCCCGCACCCCCCCCCCCTCCAAGGAGAGCCAGGTGCTTGGGCTCCGGGGCCCGGAGTGTGATGCTTGGGTGTTCCGCCTCCCCTTGGGGTCCTGGGCTCGGAGCTGGGACTTTCAGAGAAGCCTGGGGAGCATGCGACCTCCCTCACCCCTTCCCTCCCGCCCCTCTCTTTCTAAGTGTAACCGGGGCGCCTTGTCTTTTCCGTTCTGGACTCGGGGAGCACTGATGGGCCCTGGTGTCGGCTCTGAACGGGGAAGCGGTGCCTTTGGCGGCCCTGACGGTGCCTGGCAGCCCATTCCGGTTACCTGCGGGCCCGGCGGCAGCCGCGGACCCGCCCCACTGAACCAGAAGCGGGCGCTCTGCCGGCCGGCCCTGGCACGCACACGCCGCGTGTTCGAACCCGCATCCAACATGACAGCTTTGCTGTGTTACCCAGACAAAGCTGTAACCCAAAACCAGGCATGCCCGTGTTAGGTGCTGGTTTACTGCCTACAGAGACGTGTATTAATTATTGCAAAAGAGAAATACAAAAATGCCAGGCAGGAGACAGGCGCATCCCAGCCTCCCACACAAATGGAAGCTGAAGTCCTAGCAAACAACTAGAACTGGAAGATGTAAGGTGGGGCTTAGCCATGACCTCAGACTGCTTCTTGCCTGGCTTGGAAACGTCTCTCTCTCTCTCTCTCTCTCTCTCTCTCTGAAACATTTCTCTCTCTCTCTCTCTCTCTCTCTCTCTCTCTCTCTCTCTCTGAAACGTTTCTCTCTCTCTCTCTCTCTCTCTCTCTCTCTCTCTCTCTGAAACATTTCTCTCTCTCTCTCTCTCTCTCTGAAACATTTCTCTCTCTCTCTCTCTCTCTCTCTCTCTCTCTCTCTCTCTCTCTCTCTCTCTCGGAAACGTTTCTCTCTCTCTCTCTCCCCACACACACACAAAAGGGCCCAAGCATGCCCAGATCTGCCACCAGTGCCTGGTATATCAGTTTTCCTCCTCAATGGCCAGTGCCCTATAAGGGAAGCATGCCCTTATAAAACCTTATCCCTTAGTTGCCCCATTTCTTTTTTAAAAAATATATTTTATTGATTTTGTACAGAGAGGAAGAGAGAGAAATAGAGAGTTAGAAACATCGATGAGAGAGTCATGGATCAGCCACCTCTTGCACACCCCCTACTGGGGATATGCCCGCAACCAAGGTACATGCCCTTGACCGGAATCGAACCCGAGTCCCTTCAGTCCCCAAGCTGATGCTCTATCCATTGAGCCAAATCGGTCTTGGCAGTTGCCCCATTTCTGCCCTTGGGTCAGCATGCTAGGAAAGATGGGAAGCCCCTGGGACTGTCCCTGGGATGGAGAGGGAAAGCCCACAAACAAAAGTCACTCCGATGTTTTTCTGTATTGGGCTCTGAAACTGCACAGATTATGGGATTTGTCTCGGACAGAATTATCATTACGCGTGAGACCCTAGTGCTCTGCTGCACTGGACACATTGTATAGGATTGCTGGGAGCATCTCTTCCAAACTGCCTGTTAATAGCAACATAAAACCTGGAAGTACTATGCAGGTTTTTTTGTTTTAAACCCGATTAAAGCAAAATGTAGGCATTATTTAGAATGGGCAGTTTTCCTGGTGGAAGCAGTTTGAAGAAAGCGGAACCCAGCTGGAAGGCAATGGGAGCCACTCAAGGAACTGGAGAGGCTTCTGCTGCCCACGTGGCTGAGAGAAGTAAGCAGCCATCCCTCCGAGGAAGGGAGCTGCCCCCTCCGAGGAAGGGAGCTGCCCCGGTGCTAAAGAGAACCAGCCAGACTTCCTCTCTTGCAAGCTGTGTGTTTTATATTTCAAAACCAACCTGCTCTTGACAGCAAATTCCGGTAAAGGAGTCCTACCAAGGCCATCTCCTTTGGTCAAAGATAACTGCAGGAGCCAGCGAGTTCCGGTTATCCCTGGGGGGTGGGGGGCAGCTTTGGATGTTGTTTTTCTCCCAGAGGCAAAGTGGAGGTATTCCTGGATCTCCCTGACCCTTTAGTTCAATTCTTAGCATAAGGAAACATGGTATTTGGGGGTGATGGGGAGCCAAAGAAGAAAAAGAATCCCACAGCAAATAGAACTGTAAGTGGCCAGAGTTTGAGTTGACTTCTGTTGCAGCACCACAAGGGAAAAAAGCTGTTCTTGAATCAGATGGCTCCTCTGCCACCACAGTGTCTCTGCCTTTACTTGGAGGTGGTAAGGGGGCCTTTGGGACGAAGGGTGTCTTACTCCACAGGCCATCGCTAGGAGCCACTTCCAGCCAAGGGCTTCTTTAAAAACAAGATGTCTCTTTCTAGAAGCTACATACCATTGCCAGTTCCCTCCATCCACCTGCCGGTGGGACCAGCAAGTGCTGCCTTGGGGAGCCTAAAAAGCAGCAGCCTGCTCCCCGACCTCCATCCCAGGTTCCCAAGGTGGAGGATAGGCCTGAAAGCGCCCCTCAGAGGCAGTTTTTGGGGTGAATAAAGATTTTGCTTTAGGCCCTGCCCCCAGTCTCCCAACTGGGATCTCCCGAGGCCCGAGGCCACACTGAAACCTGAAAATCACTCATCCCAGCTTCCATTTACTAAAATCT